GTTCCATTTTTTGTACACCTATTCGCTTTAGGGCCTTTCCCGTCTTATTTTTCAATTTCATTCGCCATGTCGTAAAGGACTACAAGTAACAGAACTATAGCACATCGTTTGACAAAGATTTCTACTTTTGCATGTACTCGGCAATGGTTTATTCCCTTGGAAAGCATTTTACTCCTATTTCAAGTTCTTATGTCCATGGCAAAATGAACTAAGGTAGCGGAACTATTAGTGAATGTATTGAAAACTATAGAAATTAGCTTATAGACACGCCTTCAATGAGAGAAAAACTAAATTTCTATTTTGTTGTGAAATGCATCCATCCATGCAGGAAAAATTGTTGCGCTCTTAACTTGAAGATCAGATTTTATAATTTTATATTCATAAATAATCGGGCAATGCACATCGTTTCTCTTCTGGTTTTCTATATATGAAAACTTTGATGCATTTTATTTATTATAACAAATTTTTCATACACTTTTTTAAACATTTTTAGAGATTTATCTCTGAAATACTTAATGAGCTTTAAATAATTTTAGATCTCTAGGGAGTCGATAGCCTAGCCGAGCTTATAATCTTTTTCTTATCATAAATACTTTTTTTTTTTTTGTTTTTTTGTAAGTACATATTCGAAGAGTCGAAACGAAAGATATACCCTTCCTTTCTGAAGTTTTTCATTTGTATTTTTTTCGTGCATATCTAGAAATTGCTAACGTCAAACTTTGACTTTTGGTTTAACAAGTTTTTGGCACAATATGCAGAAATAATCTTATATTATAAATGTTGGTGAGATTTCGTTAAATATTTCACACAATTCCCTACTACCACCCACAGGCCGATTGAGTGTTCAGCACTATTACCGAAATGCCAACGGTCATTGTGATTATGGCACACATTACAGTTTATGCCAATCTTGATTTGTTGTAAATGAGGTTTTAAGAAGCCGTTGTTTGCTATGCACATTCGTAAATAAATATTTTTTTGGCAAATGCTTGTTTTCTTAAGCGAGCAGAACTGAAATACTCAAATTGCTCCAAATGTTTATTTTATATATGCACATTTTTTCTACAATCAAAAGTTAACTTAATATATGGTCTCTTCAAGGCGTTATCAAGCAAAGCTGCGAGACGAAAGCAAAAACATTTACTACAAATTTTTTTTTTTTCATATCGTCTCTAAATGTTCTTTAGTCTGTTTCTCTTCATTTCGATCTGTTCAAGTATATCTTTCTCTCCCTCCCTCCCTCTTCATCATTTTCTCCAAACTCTTTTTATTCGGATCTACTCGAGTTAATCTCTATCTCCTTCTCTCTCCCTGTCTCCCTCACTTGCTCTAACTTCGTTTCTTTTGAATTACTTAATACAAGGCTACCCATTAGTACGGACAAAAAGTTTTGCGTCACTCTATCCATCCACTATTTTTGATTTCAAATTGACTCTTCTATCTTTCAGTACTGTCCGTACGCAATATTTTTTTCGGTTTTTTATGCCTATAACATTTTTTATTAAGAATTATTTTTACTAGCTCGTTACTTACCGCAAGGCAAGTAAAACTCACTTTTTAAATATCGCATATCGAAAAAATTATATAGAGGTGATCCAAAATTTACGCAAAATTTGAATTTACAGCTATTTGTTGTATAAAGTGTTGGTAATCCTCAAAATAAAAAAGCTGGTGGACAACTGAAAGTGGTGCAGTACGGGAGAGAACAATGGCTTGTCATTGCTGAACAACGTTTCAAGAACAATGAAAATTTAGCGGGCAGGGCTCGCAAATTTCATATAAAGTATAGTGGGAATATTGATTTAACTTCATGAACTATCAAGAGAATAATTGATAGCCCTGGGAATTATGGGATTATAGGGATTATAAGGGCTTGAAGTCAAAAGCCTATGTTAACAAGCCCGCAACCACCCTTACATTGAAGAAGGGAACTCAACGCTGCATCAAAGAAGCAACTGCATCAAAGAAGCAGCGATGAATTTCCTCAACCACGTTTAGGCAAAATAATCAGCAAAGCCATAGGGCCGTTTGATCGATGGGCTAGTGTACACAGAACCCTTTCCCATGTACATTATGATTCAATAAAAAAATTACAAATAAAAAATAACAACTCTGTCTCTAATTTAGTACAAATCATACGTAAATTTTGGAACACCCTTTGTAAACTGAAGAACGGCGCTAGCATTCATAAATCTATCACGATTTAATATCGTTGTCAATCTTCTAGAATTTCCAGACGGAAAATTTAGTTAAATGTTTTTACCAGTACCTAAAAAATGTAACGTTTGTCTCATCTCGCATGCCAGAGAGATGGCCCCTAGAAATCGAACAACAACAATAATTATTGTTAACGCCCAAAATTTCACCTTCATTACAGAGCTGAATATCAAATTCTGTTAATTTGCTTGGTTTCTAAAGAAATCACGATTTTGAATGGATGACTTAATTCGCATCGTTTACGAAACCATCATGCCTTGGCGAGAATAGAAACATAAAATTGGTCCGTGACACACACAAATTGTTATTGCCAAGGCATTTACGGTCGCGATTCTGTAGTAATACAATTGGCAATCTACAAAACCAACTCCCCTACATATATTTATCCCTCTAAATTATTATAACATTTTTATGAATAAATATTTATAGAAAATTGAGTAGCATTTTGCTTAATTAATTTAATTTATGTTGATTTGAGTATAAAAACAACCTTTTTATTTTTTAATCAGCGCTCCAAAAACGATTGAATAATAAACTTACACGAAATATAAAAAATATGCCCTTCAGTGCTTATCAATATTTTTAAAAATATACAATAACAAAAAATGGACTTACTACGCAACTCTCAATATGAACGAGCCCGTCAATGCATTTTTTCAGCATTTTTTTTCTTTCCTTTTTTCGAAATGCGATTCCTTTCGAATGAATTAACGTGTGTTTCTTTCTTACTACTAATCAACCACTTTGCCTCTTGTTCGCGCTATAGTATGGCTTCGCAGGTTTAGAATTGTTTTTTTTTTTTTTTGAATAATTGAACAACCGCTTTACCTATGTAGATATAGTGATGGTTAGGAAGAACTGTTATTAGAAGGGAGAAGATGAAAGAGGATACTATTGAAAGATGAAAACAGGAGAGAACGGCGAAGAAGGTCACTACAAGTGTGTTATTCCAAAGCCATATAGTGTCATGAATGTGGCAATTGCCTTCAATGACCTACTATTTCATGTCCGATCGTTCGTCTGGGTGAACGATGTTATAGCATAAATATAAAAAAGAGCACTGTTCGCAGTCCCGGACTTTTATTAATAGTACATGTCTTTTGAGGAAGAACAAGAAGACATCAAAGGTAAAACCCGACTTGGATGCCTTTGCGAACATTCATTAATAAAACGCTTGAAAAAACTTTCCTGGTTGCTGTTACCCATAAAAGAGAAATTAACATTATAAATAAGCTAAAAACTTTATACAAATTATGTAAAAGTATTTTTACTTCAATTTCATTTCACTTATTCAGTTTATTAAGTAACTCTCCAAACTATAAATAAGCCTAGTTACATAAATACACATCATGTTCGGAAAAGAAACTAAAACATAAGCGAGTATAAAAGTCAGAAAATTGGCTGCGAATGTAATCATATTGCTCCCTAAACTCCGTAATCGTCAATTCCTACCAGCAGCAACAAAATATACATTAGATGTTTAGCAATGCGATTAAATTTCTTGTAAACGTATTCGAAGAACCATCGAAGAATTTCAGATTCAACGGTAACTCAATTTCTATTCGATCTACTGAACTGCTGAGAACTGCAGTCGTTAGAGATCGAGATTGCATGATTTTATAGAGATAGATAAGTAACCTGAATTTTAGATAATCGTAAAAGGAGAATTTTAACAAGTGTCATGGGAAGAGAAGACGCAATAGTTTGTTTAACCAGTAAAGGCAGATAAAGATACAGATTGTACAATTTTCGGAGTGTAACACGAACTGTAGCAGAGATCAAGTGTTACTACAAGATCAAGGCGATATTCAAATATTTTTATATTGAGTTTAAATGACCCGGCACGGGGAGAATCGAAAAATGAGGCCTTAGTCTTACTAGAGTTAAAGCAGAAGTTAACAATTGCTAAGGACCCGTTATTAATATGGCGTTCGAACACATGCAAATTATTTGATTTATATTTTGAACAGCAAAACTACTCAATTTCCCGACAGTTATTAATACTATTATAATGCGACTTGTAACTTTATCGTATGCAATGTTTTTTAACGCTAAATATGAAAACGACCAGGCCGTAGAATCTAACACGAAATGTTACCCTAAAGGGTACTTCCACGCGTGTTTCTTAAACTACAAACTGCCTTGACACGAGAATAGATACTTGAAACTTTTCCTCACTTTTCATCACATCATCTAGATTCAAATTTTATTTAAAATCTCAGTCAATATACTTGCAATCCTTATCTCGCCTACGACGACTCGATTTTAATTTCATTTCCGGCGGCGATGTCTGTATCAACTTTTGACAACTTTTGACTTGACCACGCGATTGATCTACTTTTTATGTTAATCATTTTTGAATTTCATTATCACTTGGATTCGTTGCATAGATACTTACTTTAATTCGTTTTAATAATAATATAAAAATAAAATAAGAATTGTGTTCTTATCTTGTCTTTGAGTGAATAATTTATTGTAATCAACATTTCATACCACCATATATACGTATATTTCTTTTGTATTTAATTATCGTTGATGTGCACAAAACCCGCAATGCAACGAAAATTTCATGCTCAAGAAAACTATTAGTTTTACCCCCGCGATCGTAAAATATTAAAATATTTACAATCTAAATGAATAATGTATCAATACTTCACAACACCTTTCTTTCCTCTCTTCCTCTGTCTCTTCAATAAACACATTTGTTTATTTTTAAATTACATTCTTTACTCAGTTGATTTATGTATTGACAAATAACGAATTAAATGTTCATTTATTATTAGGTGGAAACCAGTTGCAACATGTATCGTGCTGTTATGGAGGAAGTTGCGAGATTTCTTGAACGCTATCAAACACAAAAGCAAAAGCAACAACAACTGCACCAGCAGCAACAGCAGCAGCAGCAGCAGCAACAACAACAATCATTATCATATAAGACCACACAAAATCGTTACAGTAATGGCGGCGTTAGCACTAAAATGGAGCAGATATCACGCTCGAGGAGTCTTCATCAGGTGTATCAAGCAAGTGGAGGTCATGAGAAAATCAATGAAGGTAAGGCAGCGGAGACATCGGCAGCATATCTACGTGCACGCAGTAGCGTAAATCTAATCGACTTAAAACAGCCATCGTCAACACAAATGGCAAATGGCAAAGCAATAAAATTAACAGTTGCTGCCGCTGAAACGGTTAACAGCGGTACTGATCGTATCGCAGATCAGCAATTGTCGCCGACACAATCGCATAGTGCTTTTAAAGATTTCACCTGGTATGCATGCAGCGTTAATATAAATTACAATGTTTTCTATTATTATTATTTTTTTCATTTTTCTTTTTTTCTTTTTATGTATACAGGAGACGTCCCCCCAAGAAATGTCACGAATTACGTTTCCATATACATGTTGACGATGTAGAGGAGAAACTTAATCAGGAAGCATTTCGCTTATTGCGTACAATTAATAATTTATTAAATACGTCAAGCCATCAGCCCGACTTAACACACGCACGTAATAATACGGGCACAAATACAATGCAAAATGTGGATCGTTTATCTAAAGCGACATCAACCAATTCGATTTTGCTTTTATCTACGGGACCGCCGTTGGTCAATTCAACCATCATTTCAACTAGTAGAGATGCCCATACGAATACAAATGCCAAATCGTCGACGCTTGCCAATGATATGCTTTTCTTGCGTTCCGCAAATATGCGCGAATCACGTTTATCACTACGCAGCTCCACCGATAGTTCCGTTCATTCCACCACATCATCGGCCGCTTCATCAGCTTCCTCGAAATTGGAGACTGATGAAGAACCGAACATATCATTCATATCGCCACCAAAACCGCCACCAATAACGGCATCAAATCCAACGAATCATAATAAACACCCCCAAACATCCGCCCTTCAAGTAACGGGCGGCTCATCTACCGAAGACGAAAGTGGTTTCAGCTCGATTAGTTCATTTCCCGATTTGGGTATACCACTTAGTTCTACTCGATTATCGAATGTCGCTACTAATTCATCTAAATTAAATAAAATACAACATGACCAACAACAACTAATTGATGATCGCAACTCTACGCTTAAAGCAAATGTGGTGGGATTGCCATTGAATGCCTTGCAAGATATGTCGCATCGTTGGGATTCACAATCGAAAACTTATCACAATGTAGGCAATACGAAACTGCAACGTTTCTCTACCCTGACCACTGAAGATTCCAGTGCCGTTTTATGGGTTTAATTATTTAATTAATGTGCTCAAGCTAATATATTTTCCTTTTACTTTTTCGAATTTATATTTTAAATTTTGCCTTTTTTTATTTATTTATCGTTTTACTTATTTATTCATTTAGAAATTTTTTTTTTATTTTTTTTTTACATCTCTCTATGTCGGTTTGGCTTCAGTAGCTACTCGTGCTTAACGTTTTATTAAATTTATTATGTAATGTTCAAATAAACAGCATTTATTTTTTATACAAATAGTTGAAATATTTTTCTGTAATTTAAAGACGGTTTGAATTAAATCTTGTAGGCAGTGCACTGCCCCGACGAAGCTCGTACGTACTATTTTCATTTTTTTTGGTCAACGAATTTGCTGAATGAATACCATTTAGGTCGCGCACTTTTTCAATGCCGTTTAAATTGTCAATTTTCCCTGAGGACTTTCCCAAAAAGCAACGGTCATCAACACAAATACAAATTTTGCAAATTTTTAAAGCTTATTTATTCACATGGAAAAAAGACAAAAGACACAAGACACAAGAGTTCGTTAAAATATCCGTTTTTAATAAATACGTACACAACATATGTCTAATTATATATAAAGTATGTAAAAAGGTTATTATTATTATATATATAATAATTATAAAGTATAAAAAAAAAAAAAAAAAAATATTTTTGAATTATATAAAAACAATTCTTGAACATGAAAAGCCCAATTATGGCGACGATATTATATATACAAAACGAATATCGAATTCAAAAAATTCTGTAAAAATCTAAAATCTATAATATATATAACACATCTTAAATAAAAATATCTTTAAAAAACATATTTTGTAACAATCTTTTTGAGAAAAAGTCTATGTATTTTACATCCAGTTGTTCACTTCATTCATTTTTGTATATGCCTTTAGATAGATTACCAAAAATTTAAAGTGTTCGTCAAGGCAATGCTATTTTCTTTTTATGTAATAAATAAATCCCGAATCATTCTGTCGAAGTAGAGATAGATATTATACATTAAGTAAAGCGTTAAAATTGTTTAAATGCGACCCACACTACCGAATGTTGAAAATTTGATTCTACGTGTTGGTTGAACGGAACGCGGCGCGGGTGAATGATTGCATATATCATCGCAAGTGTCCTCCTGTGTGACTTCCTGAAATAGAAAAAATATATAATAAAAAATTTTATTCATACTTTGGTCCGGTTGTTGCTACTTTGTACGTATTTATCGTGTGTACTTCAGATTTTATTGATAAGATGCGAAGAAGAGGAGTTTTGAAGAGTATTAAAATATATGATACATATAAGCAGTAAAAGAAAAAACAACGCTAATTGCTAGAATTTGAATTCTATTGGTTCAATTCTTTCAAAATTAAAAGTTTAACGTAGAAGTTTATGAAAAGTTTTAGTCAATAATATTTTGAAATATTAATTGGTTAGAGTTGCTCTAATTGTAGTTGAACAATAAATTTAATATCTTAAAAGTTCTCCCACTTGGCACCTACTGGCTTAATAGTTGAAAAAGGCATTTTATTGCAAAGTGATATTTATTACAGAATACTACATGGGTTGTAGAGTATAATAACCACACATAGATTTCATAAGTAATCACATATAGCATGTCAAGGCATTCAGAGTACACCTTAAGGTAGATTGGTGTGTGAAATAGTGTTGAAGAGGAAAATTAAGGATATGTTTAAATATAACGCGAATAGAATGAAATCGTCTTAAAACCGAAAGAGTATTCTTTTCATCGTTTGGTAGCGGAAAGCAGCGAACAAGAATTATGTGACAGTCGTTATGACGAAATTTTGTTTGACAGAAATTTGTGTCTTCCTCTATTTCTATTATTATGATTACTATCACTCAGACTCTTATCTAGACACGGTCCTTTCACATAACCAGTGAGAGGTGCAGAAACTCTTTTGTTACTTGTTTTATTGTTGTTTACTTTTTGTTAAATTGTTAAAAAAACTGTCTGACGTTACATTCTTTTTATTGAAATGAAAAACCTAGAAGAAAACTTTAGAGACTCCATAAAGCGTACGTATTCTTGATCAGCGCCAAAATGTGAATCGAATCCAAATTGATCAAAGAAAATACCCACAGTATGACGTAAAGTGAAAACACTTCTATATTAAAAATCAAAAATATTTTTTTGTATCTAAAACGCATATTAATTTTTTTATATTTTATGAGGCCGTTACACAAACACAAATCCAAATATATATACATTATATAAATATATATATATATAAATATATACTGTTGCCCAAGTAAACCCAGCACCAACAAAATCGCTGAACAATAATATCAATCAAACAATGTCCTTTTTTGCACAATATAATGCCGTTCTTGGTTCTATACTATTTGAGAGTTAATTCTTATTTAAGTAACAGATTAAAATAAAAGTCCCTCACTCGGTGAAATGTTTTGTCCCGATTCTATTGCATACGAATTCGAAACATCAATAAATTTTTTTTATTTGGTGTTGACTCTCAAAAACCACCAATTTTTAAATACGCGTAGGTCACAACACTGTAATTAGTTCACGTGAAAATTTTTTTATTCTTTACTTACATGAATATTGGTACAACTGGCCAATCTCATTTGCGCCAGTTGTGAAGCCGGTGTTAAAGAACTAGTACTCCCAAAGGGCGGTGTCATCATTGTAGAAACGGCACGTTTCAATTTCGATGGCGTTTTATTAAAGGAAAACGCCCGCCCAACCTTAATAAATAAACAAGAAATACAGCAATAACAACTAAACCCTTAAATTCAAATAGGCCATGCTTCAAAAAATATAGCCGCACGTATCAGAAATAGTGTTAAGCAAATGAACTTACCTTTAGACGTGTCCGTGCGGCTAATTTGAAAGCCTTGGACAATGTACTCAAATTAATGTCGCTAATATCGACGTCCAACTCCTGCGAAGTGCGACACAGTAAAGGCTTATTCTAAAATACAAAATTGCCATTAATAATGCGCATATTTAGCTTAGTAGTTCATATAGTCGCACAGTTTACGCTTTCACTTACCGTGTCAGTGCGGCATGCATTTTCTGCCATTTGTTTACATAGTGCTTTCAAGTAGATCACCTTATCAACCTCCTCATCAGCAATGTTAAATGAGTATAAGTTATCCTTGTCATGACCGCATAATAAAGCAAAAGCACGCGGACTATCCGTTATATCGATAACAAAATATATGGCATTCAACGAAATAAGTTTAACATGTTTATGTGTTTTTGTGCTACCGGGGGATTTGGCGCTATTGAAACGTGAACGCTTCTTGCATACCTCAATTGTATCAGAAAATAAGTATAGCATCAAGCTATCACCCCGCCCACTTAAATTATTTGTCAGTTCATTTACTTCGCATCGCGATATAAACATACGATTCGAAGATACGAGATGAGCCTAAGAGAGAATTCAAAATAATATGAGAAAAAAAACATAGAAGATGTAATATAAATATAACGGCATATATCAATATATAGCAAAACACTTACCGGACAATCTTCAATATCATTAAATATATCGAAGATAGCTATCCGGGATTCTGTTTTACGTTTATCTTCGTTAATATGCATCGTAACTTCTTTAATCGCTTTCAAAGCTTCCTCCAAAGGTAAATAATCAGGATTGCTCTTACTCGTATGCTTAAGTATATCATTCAATAATAGACTAACACTAGGTAGACGTTGTACGGGACGTATCATTAAGTCCTGCAATCTTTGACGTCCGCATTCCGGTTTAATTTGATTAATTTTTAAGAAAGCATGAAACCGGGGATACTCTTGATCGCATTGGATTAAAGTCTCTTTCATTTGCTCAAAGAAATTCACATAGGGCGGATAGGCTTTAATTAAATCATCACGATGTTGCAGTATAATGTCACCGATCAAACAATCCTCCGACCATTTAGCATGTATGGCACGCAAACGTTCCAGCATACTCTGATGCACCTCATGTATGGGCAGAAAATTACCAAAAATGGCTTTTATTTTAGATTTACTTAGTAAAGCATCATTATTTTTTACACTCATTTCTAAAGGATTTTTGAAGAGCTGAAAAATTGAAAACACGTTGTGAACATTAAACATGCTATGCCCTCTCCCTTTAGATAAGTTTAACTTATGATTTATTATTAGACTTACATTGACAATTGTGTCCAATATACCAACGTAATTTGATTCTGTAGTATAAAACTCCATAAAATGGTTGAAACGCATCGAGCACTTTTTCGCGGGCGTTTCTTCGCATACTGAACTCTCAGGTTCGTTCAAAATTATTCCAGTTTCCAATTTATCGGGACTGCTAGTACAATCAAAGAAGCTGCCAGATGATACCGATAGGAGATGAGCATCCGACGAATGACGTTGTTTTGAAGCCGATGGTGAACCCTCCGATTGCAGGAAATGTTTACGCTTCCGATTATTAAAACTAATTGGCAGAGAATCACGACGATCCGTATTTGGAGTATTCGCAATACTATGCAAATACTAATTAAAAAAACAAAAAAAAAAAAACAATAATAATAACAATAATCTTCGAGGATATATAAGTTATCTTGTTTTTCTTCAATATTTATGATAATAATTATTATTATATTAGCATTATTAACTTTATACGCGATTCACGCGTTAAGATTACATCTCTTTTTTCTAAGACCAATAAGATCAATATTCAAGTTAAATTGCGCGAGTATACCGAATATCAAGAGTACTTTCTTTTTCCCTAAATTTGGTAGCCCTATGACAGACATCTGTGTCAAAGAAAAACAACAAAAACAAAAATCAGAAATTTCTCCAGTTTGCATATATTTGATAAACATAACATATGCACCCTATTGCAGTAGACATACCCACAAACTCTGCACATCTTCTTAGCCGATATAGGTCGAGACTATTCCCACTAATTATATAATCATTTGTAGCATATATAATGTTGTTACAGCTCGAAAATCGAAAGTCTTAATACGAACTTAAAAATTTTGGTCCGATTTAAAATTTTCTGATATTTTTTTTTAAAGAATTTTTAAAGTTACTTTCATCGTTACTTACATCGCCGAACAGATACTCTTTTTCGTGAGCGTACCCGTTTTGAATCGTGTACCAGAACCAATCGGATTTGAGAATATGAGTTTGTTGGTTCCTTGTTTCGGGCTTGACTTGCGTGGCGTGTTCGTCAACCACCTAAATTAGAAATATAAAGAGAAGACAAAGCAAGTAAAAATATTATATTCGGCTTTGACCGAATCTTTTACACCCATCATCGTTATGCTAAAATAGATCAAAAAAAAAAAAAAAAAAGGATTGTATGGGCGTGGTTGATTTTTTCTATTTTTATAGAAATTTTATAGAAATTTATAACGTACATCTGTTTATCTGGTTGACGGTTAGCGAGCAAAATACAGAAAAGCAAACGTTTTCTTAGTTTACGTTGCATTGTACGCGTATCCCTGAATCCCCGATTTGCATCATTTTCAATTCTTTTTCAAATTTGAACATGATATCTCCATTTTTGCGAACAGAAGTAGGTCTATCACAGACACGATATAGTAGGGCAAAACCGATTACAATTCTGGATAGGCGTGTACAATTTTCTTCTTATTTGTGTAAGCATCAGGCATCGTTTGTAAAATAAAGTTGAAGTTTTATCAAGTGAATCTACTATCACTTGTGAGTTCATCAACTTCCACTTTGCAACACACAGCGGCCTTCTTAGTTTAGGTACTTCGAACGATTTCGCCCATTTTCAATAAAATCCAACATGCGCAGAACTTTCAATGCTTCTATCAAATTTGAAGTCATCGCTTACAATAGACGGACATACGGACATGCTTATGACGATTCGGAATACCGATGCTGATCAAAAATATATATACTTTATCCGTTTCAAACGTTTTGATAAAAACAAATGAATATACCACTCACTCGCTCATCTTCCGGTGATGGGTATAAAAGAAACCAATAAATAAATAATAAAAACTAATACGAATAAACGCAAATCAAAAAAAATTAAAAACGAAAACTTTTTCATGATTTTTCAATGACATCAAGTAATTAATTTAGTGATCAAAAATGGAAAAATGGCTGAATATTGTTTCGGAATTACAAAAAAATAAATAAAAATAGTAATAATAATAATAATAATAATAATAATATTAGCAAGAAGAATTTTAAAATGCGGAAAACATGCACTAAAAGTAGAAAATGGGAAACGTGAAATCAAATAAAAGAAATAAATGAAGTTAATCTATCTATCTGATCTGATCTAAAATAGCATATTATTTAAAAATAAATAAAAAGAAACAAGCTATCACAACAACAGCACATTAAATTATAATTTATAGATAGAACAAATATTCAGCCATCTTTCTTTCTTTTCATAAATTTTAAATCAAATATAAAACGAGAAAATTTGAATATTTTTGTTTTCAATTTAAACAATTTTCTCTTCTCCTCAAAAAAAACAAAAACAAAAAAATAGAACAAAATTGATTTTAAAAAAAAAAAAAAAAAAATTTATAAAAAATATAAGCAAACAACATACATATGCGTCTATGCAATTGTTGCAATTAATAACTGACTGAACTGACTGACTGACTGACTGACTGACGCAACTTTTTATTTACGCGGCATTTTTAACATTTACAAAAGAAAAAAATGTGCTGCTGTTTTTGCTTTTCTTTTTTTAATAATTTTAATTGAAAAGATCTAAATTACCAAAACCACCATTTTTAAAATATTGATCAATTTTTAGCCATTAATATGTGTATGTGTACAGTTACATGAAAAAAAAAAAAAACAAAAAATTCGCATAAAAATAAAAAATGTGCAAGCAAATAGCAAACCGCATAATAATTATTGTGAAGATTTTTTGTTAGTTACTGTTTTTGCTATATTTGTTGTTGATATTTGTTTATGAAAAATGTTAAAAATGCTTTCCTAATTGCGAGACAACTCAACTCCTTATTTTTGCATATATCTGCTTAGTAATGAATTCACTCCTTTGCCGAAAGTTCTTTGCCGAAAGTTCGATTCTAGCCGAACGCTGAGAGCCTATTTCATAGTCATCCATCCTATTGTACGCTTAGTTCTAGCTTTTCGAAATATTTCCATTTAAGACAATCTTTCATTTCCTTACACCAAATATGCCGGTTAATAATAATGTCGACTTTCTTAAGTGAAAGAAAATTTTAAAAATTTCGTACAAAAGCTTAGGGGCCAAACATCCGAAAACTGTCACTTATAATAATCTTAAGAGTAACCTTAGTTAGTTATATTAATATAGATTTTTTCATCCAAGTATTTATCCTGATTGTGAAAGTGACATTCAAAGCGATCTTTCCTTTCCTGCACATAATATTATCATTACTTCAATCGAAACAGTATCCGCTGTATGCTTCACTTTAGTTAATTTCCGTTCCCAAAATATAGCGGTTTTTATTTTTGTTAATGTCAGGAAATTGCCTCATCTATTGAGAATCTGCCCCGTGGAATCTTTATGCAATGATGTTAAAGCGCTATATAATCGATTTTGAATTGAAAGCATAATATGCCTAGTTCTTGGCTAAGAACGTTGCCTACACTTAGTATTCCTATCCTTTTACTAGTCAGGCACTCGATGCCGACATGCATATGTGTTTGGTATAAGCCTCAAAATATGGCCGTCCCTATCAACTGTTAGCAAAAATCACCTAAGGAAACTGAGATTGAACATCTGATCAAGATTTGGTGATCTTGCAAGATCTTTACATTGGCTTTGAGAAGTTGATGTCCCCGCTTCTAAAATTATATTCCGATTCCTCAACAAAAGTACACACCAAAGAAATTGTATGAAATCGTCACAAGAGAAAAATTCTGGGTCGCATTAAGCTTATCCGTCTATGCGTCAAATCTCTCCGTTTCCGTTTATTCGTAGATTGTTTGAAATCTTAGTGCTGCCAGACGAATTCAAATGTATTTTATTATCTAGGTCAAGGCATTTATTTTGCTTCCAATGAACAAGAGCATTCTATTAATTTAACAGTTGGATGTGAGGTATCCGACGCTTGTGCTATATCTCTTGATGATTGGTATGAATTTTGTGCTTTGGAAGGCCGTCCCGTCTCTTAAGGTTGTATCTCCAGAACGGAATCTTACAAATCAATTTCTAGCTGCACATTTTCGTTAGCTGTCGCCTCAGCGCTATTGCCTTGTTTAAATTCCCAAGGCATTACATGTCGAATATACAGTGACCACAAAAACTCGTTTGTTTCGGCAACTTATAGTGGGGAAATATGAACAATCAATTCTACCTAGCTTCATCTGAAGTTACTTATGTCATGACTCAACCTAATAGGATAGAATATAGTATATATATATATATAGTATTTATCCTAACCGTGCCATCCAAAATAATAACATACTCTTCTAGCTAAAAGACCCATTCCTTTCCGACTAATTCTTCAAATTCGCTATAGGTTTATAGAATAAAAATAAAAGCGAAACCCTTCCTTTCGACTGAGTGGCGATCATTTGAGCACTTTTAATGGAACTTTTCTTTTAGTATTTCTCTGTCTCAGGCATTTCGTTATTTTCAGTACGAAAGCAAGCAAGCTTGTGTAAGAAAACTTGATATATATGTAAGATAGATATTTCTCTTTAGATTAAGCTTATTGTTAACCGGCACATCTGATAAATGCATATCTCAACACCTATTACCCATTGTGGATGCTTTCCTAACACTTCCGTAATTTCGATGAATAATTAGTCCGTATGTATTTCGCAATGTAATCTTTTTTAGAGTATAAAAAATTGAAATAATCTGAAATTCTATATATAAATTTTTTTCAATTTTGTTCCAATTTTTTCATTTTTTTTTTTTCCGGTTTTTTAATTGCTTACTAAAGATTTAAAAGAAAAAAAATAAATAAATATAAAAAAACTTCTCTTTAAATACCGTTGTCGCTTGGTCTGCTACGCACAACAATTCATTTTGTATTTGCTCTCCAATTTCTACGCTCAGCGTTGGATATTTTGTATCTTGAGTATCATTTGGTTCCCGATGAATAGGGTATATTTGTTTGCCGGGACTCAAGGCAGTATCAACATTCGTACAGGGGGATGTTAATAGTGTGTTAAAGGAAAGAGTAGAACCTAGACCAATGTTTTGACTAGCGAGTGCAGAAAGAGAGGTTGATGGGGAATTACAAGGGGAATCGGCAAAATGGACGGATGTATTCCGGCTTTTAAAAGCAGAGGTTGATAAAGGTTTTCTTGAAGCAGAAAGCGTACTTGCACGATCGCACATTATTTTAGGCGCTTTCGGCGTTTTGAATTCCTCCTTTTCCGCTTGTAATCCATCCGGTACAGTCTTTTTCGATAATTCATTAATACTATTGAAAGCGCCTTTTTCTTTGCGGCCGCTGCTACGCGCCAAGCGATTTTTAAAATTGCGCAATTTGTCTTTTACCGGTTTGCGTACCGATTGATTAAAAGTGCTTTGAACTGAGGCTATAGAGCATGGCGAATCGTCATCCTTTTCGGTAATCTCGTCTTCCTCAAAATTTAGTCTATCATCCATTATCGTGTCCACTGTGCTGCGTCGTAACGAGAGCATTTTAGCGATAGGCGTACGTTCGGCCACAAAACTCATCGAACGTTTAAAAGTACGTTTTATAGAATCAATGTGCGATAATTTCGGTTTTTTATTACTTGAAGGCATAGCGGACGACTCACCTGACGTCAAGGAAACGTCGGAATTGCCACATTTGCGTTTCAATGTCTTTTTAGGTATATGATGCTCATCTTTTTGGTCCAGATCATCTATGTCTGTCGTTATGGAAAAATCCATAACTTGTCGGTGCTTATTACTGTCCGATTGAGTGCAGTCTTTAGTATCAACATATATCGAGGATATATTGCGAAATTCTTGTAAAACACATTTCGTGTCCTTTTTAAAGGGCGAAACCTTTAAATCATTCCTAATTACATGCACTTTAGAAGATTTCGGCGTACTGGCAAGGGTTGTTATTTTTAAATCATGAGATAACTGGAAAGCGTTTTCTAAATTTTCTGAATCCAAATTAAGCAAATCGCTAACAAGATTGTCTTCTGCTTCTTTTTCTGCCGCATATGCTTTTAAATTGTCCTCAAAGTCGAAAGCCAGACGTTCATCGAAATTGTCGTCAACTTCATCATCATCATCTTCATCTTTATCTTCTTCATTATTTTTATTACCTTGATTACTGTTATTATTTTCTGCTTCCAACTCGTTATCAACTTCCATTTCTTCAACAATGCTTTGATTTGGGCAATTTTGAAAATTATGGAATTGTTTGGGAAAAGGGTTAATTTGAAAATTTTTGGAAATGTTAGTAGTAGCTGCGGTGTCAGTAGTAGTAAGAGAGAAAAGTTCAGAAAAATGACCACCCGTTTTAGGCATGACCTGGAATTTTAAATATACATTCAATGGTGAATTGAAACATTAACACTAGTGGACGACAAATATTGGTTTATATTTATATAACAAGGATGCGTACAAAAACAAAAATTAAAAAAACAAAAAAACCGAAAGCTAAATGAAAATGATACTACGAGGATCGAGTGTGTTTACAACAAAACCACTTACAACATGTGAACACTCAGGATCATCTAATTCCGCAGGTATGCCGCCGTTGCTTTCCAATACTTCGACCATATGTTCGTGTTCATCGGCAGGGAAACCAAAAAAGCAAATTTTCTGTCCTTCAAACGCTTTTAGCTTATGTTCACTTGAAAATTCTTCGGTATTGGCACGAAATCCAGGCTTATCACGTTGTTCCCAAGCGGCATATACCCAAGCTGGCCTAACCACGGTTAAACGAAATGTTTTAGCATATCTACGAGAAAAAAAAATTATGCAAGAAAAAGGCAATTAATAGAAATTTTTTCTAATATTGAAATTTCCCAAATCACTAGAATAGAATAGCATCCGCCAGCAATCATCTTAAAATAATATAACTTTACTTAATTTCTGTAATTATCTTCATTACTGAAAATTACATATCCCCTGGGGGGGGGGGGTAAATACAAAAAATGCCATATTATTCTAATCGCCCAGAAAGAACCATGGTCTGATTTATAATAAATGATAGATTAATATTCTTTTATGGTGAATCTTATTCGCCATTACACATCGACAGTAAGTTTCAAAAAGTTCCCCTTACAAAATGAGTTTACCGAAATTTGTGCATTAATTCATTTTGTGTGTTGATTCAACCGTCAATTGACACTTTAGATTGAAAGACTTTAGATGTCTCTTCGTCTCTCTCCATAAACTGAGTTATACATTTTAAAATACGAACAGGCGTCGACGAATCAGTCGTCAATAAAAAAATATTGTTATACACGCCACTGAAGGATGAGAGTTATATTCATTTTATCATAACGTTTGCTACACGTAGAAGGAAGCTTCAAAATCCCCATTTATATATATTATACTCATTCTTAATCAGCATCAAAATTCTGAATCTATTTTAATATGTCAGTCTGTCCATCTGTCTTGTCTGTTTGCCTATTTATATAATGTCAGATGAAACTAACGGTTTCAAATTTGACAGACACATTGGAAATTCTTAGCCGTAGGTATTTATTGGCAATGGACCAAAATCTGATCCGCCTACATTATCACTTTTCTCCGTTTTGCAAAACGAATTACTCATCAAGTACAGGTAAATCTACAAAAATTTCAACGTATATTCTATGGGTGATGATATAGCACCTGTACATGAATGAGAATGGACTACGCCTACCCAATATTATAATATATCAAAATGCAATTTGTTTTTCAATATCCTTATAATAAATAGAGAAGAAGCCAGCTTCAAAAACCCCCTGAGGTATATATAAATTCTTGGCCGGTTTCAAATTCGGAATTCGACTAAGCATGTCCATCTGTTAGTTCATCCATTTATCTCTCCGCCAAAACGTGTAGTTATCTGCGGTGCACATTCTTCCCTTCGCAAATATAAAGATAACTTTTTCTCGTTGCTCGTAAACAATAACAATAAACAATAGATGAATTATTCAACAAAAATATCAAAAATCAGCCACGCCCATCCAATGTCATAGAATATATAAATTTATATTTCTTTTTTTTTCAATCTTTTACAGAATAAGAGGTAGTTGGCAGAAAAGATTCGTTGGCAACTGAATATATTTTCACATTTGTTATGCGTTACATTTTATAAATCTATTGTATTCCCTGTAGTACTACTACTACTCTTATACTCACACATATTTATCACCACTGCTGTGCGTACTTATTAAGTGGGTAATTTGGGCATTCATATCCTTGCGTATACCACCGCCCATAGAATGAATTAAATTCACCAGCTTTGTCTAAAAAGAAAGAAATTATTAGAAACCAAACGTAAAGCAAATGTTATAAGTAATTTTTTGCTTGAGAGGGGTGTGGGGGTTTGGGGGGATTAAATCAACTCACCAATTCATCCTTCTTACGTACGCCCGTGAAACACGTTACAACGCCATCCATTGCATAATTATAAATGGGCCGTGCGTTTCGTTTGAGATCACCTTTCGCAGCGGCGGCATGTATTAAAGCTGGCGGACCCAAAATGCTGTAAATGAAATAAATGCAAGTAAGAAAAATGAAAAAAACCGTCGGATAATTACGTAATTGTTGATCCACAAAATATAAGTCGTTAATCAGAAATTAAGATCAGTCAAATATTTACAAGAAATGCAAAAAAAATAAATAAATAATTTTGATTTGAAATTGAAATCTCATTAAGAGTTCCACATGTTTTCATGGAAACGATGTATGAGTAAATTTAAGAAAAAATCAATTTTCATTAATTTCCAATTAATTTTGATGGCTACATTTATTTACCCAAAATGCGTTCGATTATTACTCTTATTGCGAATGCGAGTCGATGGTTGGGAAAAAAATTAAATATAAAAACAAATCACCAACGATTAGCCAACTGCGCTAAATTATTTTGAAAACCATAGCTGGAACAATTACTTTAGCCGTTTTATTATCAATTGTTTTAAATAAAATGTAAGCGATTTCTGGGCAAACAGTTGGTAATAAACATGCAGATAAGTTTGTTAAAACCCGCTTTTTTTTTTCAAAATATTGTTTATAATTTATTCATTTAACATTAATTAAAACATCTCTTGCGTTGATTTCTTACAAAGTTTGCGATGAGTAGACTGCGTTAAGATACTGACGCAATTTTAAGAATTCTCTTTAAATATTCTTAAAATAGGCGTCGTCTAGAGAAAGCATGAACTTCATTAAAATTGATTATTAGAAGAAAGAGTCGTCCAATCTTATGCATTGCGTGGAGCAAAATTTGGGAAACTAATAAACGATGTCTGGACATATAACACTCGTGGAAATGTAATCAATAAAGAAGATGCCACTGTTACATATCAGAGGTATGAAGCTAAATTCGAATTTAACTAGCAACGACACCGCACCTACCATTTCCCTAACCAGAGCTCTATGAACATCCTAACAGAGCATTGTTAAGTAGTTAGGATGAAAACATAACTGGATTTAGAAGAATGATGACATTTTCCTGGTTTGACGGGGCTAGATTTTCAAACTTGGATGCTTTTGAATTTGTTTAGCTTGTTTGAAAGGTACTTTCATATATATTTCCGAGGTGTCCGTGAAAACATTTTACCTTTTCTAACTTGGACAGAGTAGGCTTCCAAATCGAACTATATCTTAATAGTGTTCTCTTAGGGCGTTTGCAGAACTCTGCTAATGCAGATGGTAGGTGTCTAGGTTGCTGGCTATCCGCCTGAGTGGCCGAAGACGAGGAATCTCGACTAGCAACTCAATGGTCGTGGGTTCAAATCTCAAATGCGGTAGAGTTTTTACTAAAGCCGAAAGCCTTGGATGCTAGCGCTTTAAGACTTTAGTCTTAGAATTTATTCTCTGGCTAAATTTATAATAATAATAATAATAGGTTACTAGCTAAATTCGAGTTTACCTCTACATCCTTGTGTTAACGAAGATTCAAATTTATCGATTACATACTTGATTCCCTACTGATGTTGAGCATGTTGTTCGTCTTTTTCTACGATAATAGGAGGGGGGAATACAATTTCCGGCTTTGCATTTAAACAAGACGGAGAAAGATGCCACATGCAGACAACGAATATATACGATGTTCATACAAAAATAAATGCAACGAGAAATATGATAAAAATAAGGAAAATTTCAGATATTGGAATCACAGTGAGTATGGTTATATTAAATCATTTTTCAATCGGGATGATTGATAATCATATAGAAATTATGAGTAAAAACGTGACGCTATAAATATAGGTAATCAGTAAAGTTATGATGACACGAATATTATGCGTCTATAGGTGCGGCTTATAAGAATTAAAAAATGGCATTGGGGTTCGGTCAAATTTTTTTTTTTTTTTTAATAATATACTATGGTGACTGCGAGAAACAAAAAGAGAGGAAAGCAAAAGAAATAGAAAGGTGATGCGGCTGCGTAGTGCGGCGTGTGCCTAATCGATAGGTGTCGTGCCTTTACCGATTGAGCGTATTCGTTACAGCTATGACGTCCGAGGAATTGAAATTTAAATCCGCGAACACTGACTTGGTGCCCGCAAATCTTACCTACTCGGCTACTCAGGCGGTTTTAATATGAAGATATGGCGAAAGACAGTGAATAACGTACGAATTTTGTTGGCAGAACTAAAGATGCTTTTGCCAGATTTATATTGTAGGACACATTTTTCATATATAGTACCGTGTTTTAAATCACGTAGTTACATAATTTGCTAACATATCTTAGCTCATAGTATGAAGTAAAAGGTGGGAGCAAATTATATTCTGTCTTGTCCCAAAAAAAAGATTAAAATAAAAGAAAGGAAAAGAATTACATTTTCATACTCTATAGTACACGCAGTACGCAGACGTAGCTGATTTCACTAACAAAAGTGAAAATTTATGTGGTCTTGCACTAAAAAGCAAAAAAAAACATAGTAAGCAAAGGTTTTTGCTGCATAAACGTGTGAACGTTGTAAGCATGTTCTTTGACCAGTTTGAGTCATTTTCACGTTGTTACGCAGGCTTGTAGGCGATGTCTTCATTTTTGAGAATAAAAGTTGGGTAGGTTGGCAGATCGGCAAACGTTCACCCGGACATGCTTAAGTGCATTCCGAATTTGAAATTGGCCACGATTTTGTATACCTTGTAGGACTTTGGAAGCTTGCTTCTATGCGTTATTAATGTGTTGAAAAGACCATTAGACTATCAAATACAATTATGATTGGGGTAAGCGTAAGTTTTTCCATATTTGCACAGGCACTACAGCACTGCCCACAGAACATACGCTCAAATCTTTGCTGTAGGGTACGAGTAATGAGCAAAAGTCCATTTTTTTATTTCTTTGGGAAAGCAGCAGAGGCATTTAATGCGGTAGCCTTCGCATCATGTCTCTACATGCTTCGCTATCTAAAATACAGCAAAAAGCAAATACGTGAGGGAAAAAGGTGGAACAGGAAAACGAAGACATTTTCATCAGAGTTCTCACGTAACCATGCTTAGTCTTCCTTAAATAAATTAAAACTAATCCATTCAGTCATGGCTCTCCGTTTCTCCTGGCACATGCCTATTATGTTTTTAGTAATATTAATAATTACCAGGGTATGCAGTATGGGTGCAATAGCAGATGACATATGATCGACAGAATTCACAGTTTCTTCTTAGATGTTGCTTAATAAATATTCTTTGTGATATTGAAAAAAAAATGCAAAAATTACTGGCGGGATTAGAATACATTATGTCATATATGCGAACAATCTAATTGATACGCGTCGTGCGTAACACAACTAAAAAAAACAGGAACAATATGGTTGGACAAAGGTAACCATCAAATTCCCTACATCGCTTTAATTATTTCGTTATTTTCGTGATAATACATCAAAAATTATACATTATTTTCAGGTAAAAGCATAGTTTTCATGGTAGCCCTCATATCGGATGGTGGTCCAGACGATCCAGATTTGCTACGGTTAGTTGTTTTTATGGCAAATTGCTACTATTCTCATAATCAAAAAATTTTAATTTTTAACCTTTTTAATATGTAAGGGTGTGCTAGTCGTGACGAGTGCTTGCATGCGGTGCTATTCAAAAAAGTAGACCTAACTGGTCCAAATTTGATACAGTTAAGTTTTATGTAAAATAACTTCTATAATATAAAAAAAGTGAACATTTTTCCTACATAAAGACTTGTTTTTCTTTAGAATTCTTATGTGGTAGGATCCAAATTAATATTATAGGCAAATTTTCATTACGAAATATTGAAAATTCTATCTTTTTGTCATAGGAAGGATTTTAAATTTCATTAGGAAGGATTGTCTGGGGAGGGAACAAAAAAAATTGCCATATCCGATCCCACTTTTTCATATCAATTTAGAATGCCTAAATACTATTTAATCAGCGATTTTTGTCGAGCAAATTTTCAAAACTGCAATTTCTCTTCGTATGACGAACACAGTAGCGGAAAAGAAAAAGTGATCCGATCCGATCCATCCATCCTCCGATCATACACACACATCAATGTATCTCCAAAAATTGAGACCTGCAGATTGAACGCAACTATACGTACAAGGATATACATGAAATGGACGGACAAGCTTATATCGATTCAGAAAATTATTCTGAATTATTCGACACATCCACACAACTAATAAAGTAACACATATGTTATAGGATATAAAAAAGTGTATTATAAACTAAATAAAAAACAACCTACGCCGGATTACTATGTAAAATGTTTATGTGATCTGCAAATAGCGAACAGAACTTTTTGGGCTATGGCTTATTTAAAGAGAATACGAATTAAAAAAAGAATCTGAAACCTGAAATGGAAATTTTTTTAATTCATTTTGATGTGAATAACTTTATTAGCCATAATTCTTCAAATACTGTTCACGCGCCAAGAAAAATTATGACAATAAAGGAAAAAAAGAAAGAATGAAAAATTGAAACGAAAAAAAAATAATAATAATAAAAATCGCTTCATAATAATATAAAATAAATTTCAAATGTAAATATTTGTTTTTTATATATAATTATTATTATTATTGGAAAAGTTATATGTTTATGGAATTATTTTTGATTCATTTCAAAATCGAATATAAAAAAAATCCCAAACGTACGTTGACATTGTAGTAAATTTTCCTTGTTTTTATTTATTTTCGGTTAATAATAAATTCTTTTTCAAGTGATTTCTGTTTGTTGTTGTCATAGCAATTTCGACATTTTTTTTAATACTCTCAGATTGTTCTTTAATGCACGCTTCATTAATTTCAATCATAAATTAATCCACTGTAAGTTTAATACAAACGAGTAATAATCATTCAACCTGAAACGAACGTAAGGTCGAAACTTGTATCAGTCACTCAACTTGACATGCACCCTTATTAACGTATGCTCACGCTGTCTACAAATGCAAATATACTGTCTATATATATATATATATATATATATATATACAGGAATATTGAAGACCCAGAAAGAAAGAAAGTGTTATTCATGTGGCCATTATTGTCTCTGTGCTCCTCAATTGAATGGTGC